GCCCAAGGACTTGTAGATCTCTCGATCACTACATTGTCAAGCATCTCAGAAAGGAGTGCTCTCACCTCTTCCTGCTGCTGCGGAGAAACATACCGGACCGGCTGTCTGATAGGCTCTGTATATCCAGTATTGACAGTGTGTTGCGGTTTCCCTGTTCGCCCTAGATTTCCTGAGTCCAGTGATAAAATGTCTGCGTAGCTCAAGAGCAGCTGATAAAATGATTCCCTTTCGACCGGGCAGAGTTCTAATCAGGTCTTTTCGACCAACTTAGCAAGTTGGCGTTTTTGTTGTTCGCTAACTGCGGTTGAGTCTACGTTGCTAATTGCAGCTGTTGCCGGGATGCTCTCTACCCTGTCCAACGTGCCTCTGCGTTTGCTGGCAAATAATCATGACTGATTCCGGAGTTGGGTTGAGGAAACACACAGGTATGCTGGTCGTAGTTGGTTGTGGTTGTAACAGGGACCGAGCAACCATTACCGGTAAAGCCAGTAGCCACTCTCCTTCATTGACTTTTTCGATCCACTTCCCTAAATGTGGGGACTTCAATGGGCTTCTCGAGATGGACATTGATGCCCGCAGTTTCGTCGATGGAGCTGATGGCTGGTATAGAGATAAAATGCGATTGCATTCGGCGAACTTGACCAGCTTGGTGCCTAGGTCGATACTAAACCAATGAAAGTGCAAACCCTCAGCAAACTGCGCATGCGCGGCACCTCCAATTGATGGGCTGGGCCTATTAGTATGCGTTTACTCGTGGTCTCCAGCTAGTAGCTCACGGAGAGTCTGACACGGGCTAGCTACAGTAGTAGATAGCATGCGGGAGTCGATACACGCCCCTTGTTTTAGCTTCTTGTTCCTCCGAGGTACACAGAGCAAGCGGATCAGGTTGAGGTAAGCCAGTGCTAATTAGCAATTGGCTTGTTCACTTGGTTTTCACACCATAACTTTAGAACACAGTACATCTATGAAAATTGCTGTGCCGTGCCATTGGAGTGGCGAACTGTCGGCTCCGACCAGTCTCAGTCAAGACGAAGGTTGCAGTTCCAGGCGGCGAGAGACTCTGTCCCAAGTGTCCTTGCGCAGCAAGGTTACCACCCCACCAGTGTCAACTAGCAGGGACATCATGACTCTGTTGATAGCACACCGGGCGCGGAAACCCCCTGTCGGTTAAACTGGGAAAACGTTAGCCTGATTCTCTGAACCCCTCGACGTTAGGCTCTCCACGCCGGGGGTCTCTAGTTTAACGACTTCTGTCGGGAGAACTGGGGGCAGTTCCTGGAGATATGGCCGGGTTGTCGGCAGGTCCAGCAGAGTCCGGTGAAGTCTCACTGATTCCTTACGTTGCGCGGTATGGCTGCTCCACCCGGGGTCGTCCTTCGGCGGGTTCTACCCTCGACAGAGGCAGCTTGCTGGTTCTTCTCGAGTAAATCAACTCGATCCCATGAATTTTTCAAGCAAAGTTAAACGGGCTTCTCGGAAGAGTTGACGGCAGCCATGGGGACCTCCTCGCTCTTGTCACCGGCGGTGTCGTTGCCGGACTGTACAACAGAAACGGGCTTAGCCGCGGGAAGCGCAAATGACATCATCTCCAACGTGGTAGCTACCGCTTCGTCCAGGCTTTTCGGACGGTGTTGCTTGACACTGAAGGCAACTTGGGATTGGTTGCGACAAATACGACTGTAGGGCGAGGAGTTCACGCGCCTCGGGCTGTGGTTCCAGATAGGCTTTATCCGCGAGTGAGCGTACATCCCTGGCGAAGTGGACCCATCCCTTCTTCCGGCACGTCTCAAATTTGGCCTGATATCAGGTCCTTTCGCTTTTCGGTTCAAATCTCTCATGCAGGGCGTTCATCGCTGAGCTGTTGAATCATATAATAGATAGCACTTTATATCTGCATCAGCTATTTTTTAGCAAGACCACACAGTTGAAGGTGATGGCTGCTGTCGAATCAAAGATTGATAAGTACGTGTACAATATTAAGCAACACACAGTGCATTAGTCGATGCCTATTCCTAAAAATGCAGCTGTGTCTGCAGACAAGATCCAGGTGGATTCATTCCCTTCTTGTTTTCCCCACTTCTATAACTTACATACCATGGAACATTATTTGACATTGTGTTCTTAAAGGGTCGGTAGGATTTTCACACACACAAGGATATACGTGCACATCACCACCACTCCCTAACAATAAGGTTTTGCCAGGTTGCTAGCAATAAGGGAATGCATAAAAGCCATTGTGACCAACCATGTTTGATTTGGAGGGTAGGTCACATTTGCCAGTTACAACGATTGCCCTACACATGAATGTTGATCAACCTTCCGTAAATATTTCTTTCATTACCCGACATAGTTGTTTTAAATGTTTTGTGATCCCAAACCATACTCCAGTAAGTATTTGATTATTCAGCCCATTTGTCATCCTCTGGGGTGGTTCATTTATTTGATACATAGGCCACATTGAATAAGATATAAGATCATAAACTAAAGAGAGGCACTCAATTTGTGTTCCATTGAAATGCTAAGCTGAGAAACTCTACAGATCTAGAAAGGGCACTGTACAATGGTATATCAGCAAATTACGCCCAGTGCCACTTTATGGCTAAACCGATGCTTAATCGCGTGAAAGGAGCCAGGCCTGCTAAGCAAATTTGTTCCTTGATGCACAGATCAATGAAGTAACATTAACACTTACGATCTGTGCCGCACAATTGGCGTTCCAAATTAAGACTGTCCTCAAAGGAAGCTTTGCAGTTTTAGATAAGAGAAGGGTTTAGTTGTGTGAGCTTAAAAATCTTCTTGAAGGTATAAAGAGATGTTACATGTATGTTAGAATTGGGAATAAAGTAGGATAAAAGCTAGAGTAGATCCTGAAGGGCTGCATCAGTTAAGTTATGCTTTAAAGCGAACGACATCATTAGGAGAAGGGCGGTAAAAAGTGACATTTTTGCATTTCGATAAAGTAAAGCATTCAATACATCATCACTTGGCTGCTCACTCTGTACGGTACTCTGGGTTTCAAGAGAGGTAGAAGGGGATGAGGGAGTAGGAGAAGGGGAGGGAGGCTTGAATAGAAGAAGGTGAGGAAAGAGGAGATGGGGAATATAGAGGGGGAGGGCTCAGAGAAAAATCCTCAAGCACATCCATACCATCAACATTTTCGTTCACATCCATATAGTCAACATTCTCAATCACATCCATACCATCAACAATCTGGACCACATCCATACCATCCACATTTTCAATTACATCCATCCATACCATCAACATTCTCGATCACATCCACACCATAAACATTTTGTTTAATAACTATGTTTCATAGCACGATTCAGTACTTCATTTTGTCTCTACCTCGACATTTTATTGGTTAATAAACACTCTAGGGGTTTTAACAGTCAATTGACTTCCTTGCAGAATCACCATGACTGAAAGTTATACAGACTCTATACCGCATTAATAGCGCAAGATAGCAACAGCAAAATTTGCCGCTTCCGTAAAATTCAATTCTGCAGCTCCCACTCTCCCATCTCCTCTTCCGCCACGACCTCCTTCCCTACCTGCACCTCTTCGTCAATGCCATACATCTCCTCATCACAAGCAGCAAAACCACTCAGCACTCCTCCCTACTACTCACTGACCCATCCATCCTCTGCCCTCATACCGGATTCGACGTTTTCAACCCTTTCTGTGCTCGTTAAAAATTTGATGCTGTAGATAGCCCGTTCCATTCCGGAGATATAGCTGCTTTTATACCCCAGAGTTAGACCTTTCTTTTTTAGAATTTTTCCGCATATGCTCTCCGTCACACGTCGGGCATTGACAAAGCCGCTTGCACGATTGTGGAACTATACTATCAAAGAAGACAGGCTCAACGAAGGCAGCAGACATGCTTTTAGCATCGTTGGTAACCCAAGCTCCTCGGTAGCCAGTTGTTTTTTGGATGGCCAGTAAATTTCTCCGTGTAATTCCCCGTTTATTGCGCCTGTCAACCCACGCATGGAGATCGACATAGCCTATTTCGAGTCGCCTCCACTGTCCTGGCGAACGAGTTTCAACGCTCAAAAGTAGATAGCTCTCTTCTAGTTCCTTCTCTGTGGAAAAAGTCTAAATCGCACGGTACCTGCTGTTTCGACTTCTACTTACTTATTACTTACATATACCACTTTTTTGCGTCGACGGTCACATATACATGGATAATCCACAATCTTCGTCAACGCAGGGTATGCAATCAACAAGTACCCAACTGCTACTACTGAGTACCTGATGATAAGCTACATGCTGAAACAAATAAGTTCAGCCAGTCTTAGTTATACTGTGGCTATCATTGGCCTGGTACACAGAAGTAGTATGATCATTTATCACACGTTCATATCTGAATGCTTCATGTACTTATGTATCATAAAACTCTATTCACGATCTATGTGTAATCTCAAACCGTATTCACTATTATATGCATCATATCAAACACTATTAGACAGAAGCCATTTTTTAACAAGATTGAAACTGTCATTGGTGGCAAGTTCAGCTAATCAATGAAACGGTAGCTTGTGAATATTGAAGCTAGTTCTGATAGAGCGCTAGGTTGGTATTGGCTACATCCTCAAAACACAGGCTTGCTATTCTACAAGCAACAAGCTTGCCAGGCGAGCTTGCATACACGGTTGCTCAAGCTTGAGCGTTTATTATCTTACACAAAGGCTGTTGATTACAAGTTTGTTATAATACACACACACACACACAACACACATAGATTGGAGAGTCCAAAGAGACGCAGCGAGACTAGGAAATCAAAGGGAGACTTGGGAGTCATAGGGTAAAACAGGAGACATAGGGAGAAACAGAAGTCATAGGGAGACACTGGGAGACTGGGGAGTCATGGGGAGTCATGGGGAATCACAGGGAGGCGCATTCTGCCTGTTTGCGTACAGTGGAGCTATCGTAAGAAAGGAATTTCCAGAAACACCGCTAAAATAACACTGCACAAAGACTTCAGGTGGACCGACCTGCCACTTCTTGTAAGGAGCTTCGTAAACTTCTGCTAGCGCTGTTGAAAAATTTGTAGTTCGAGAGAACCCCGAAGATGCATCATGATACATTTCAGCCGTCTTACTGACACTTGGTCTCCACATGGTCAACACTTAAAAATATTATACAAAAACCCTCCCGGTCGTAGTGCGCATGGGCAGGGCCACGCTATCCATTCACGCTGTTTCTCGCTGAGAGTCTATTGTATAGGTAAGACGGCAGATTCGAGTGTCTTCGGGGGTCTAAAGCCCGCGTGGAAGGTTGAGTGTGATTCGTGCCAAATGTCGAAGGGGCTGGGATGTGACGCGAACCCGTTGTGTGCGTCTGGAGGATGGCGGGATCGTCGGTGGCGGGCGCGCGTTGGTTCCAGTGAGAGGCGTGTCTCTGTCTGCGCGAGGGTCGCGTTTGTGTGGGTAGGGGCGTAGTGGAGAGGCTGTGTCTCGTCGAGGAGAATGGCGGCAAGTTTTTGTCAGTGGAGAGGCGCGTGCAAGTCGAGGGAGGAAAGATGCAAGTGTCGGTGGTGGTCAGGTGTTGGGGTGAGAGGCGCGCGTATCTCCATCGTCGTTTCCATACCGCCTCCGGCAAAGGGCAGAAGACGGCGTTAACGATAAGAATACTTACCTAGGATGGCTGAATCATACACGGCTAGTAGGGCTGACCTCAGACCCCGCACACGCGCTCCAAGAGGCTGTCTGCTGCAGCTGAGAGGTCGCCTCACCAGCTGCCTATAGGTCGCAATCGGGCTCTCCGACGGGTCTCAGCGCGCAAAACCGCGCGCCCTCCCGCTGACGAGACACGCGCTCTCCACTGGAACCACGCGCCCGCCGACGAATCACGCCTCCTCCAGACGGACAAAACGGGTCGTCACATCGTCGAATTTTGGCACGAATCCTCCATAGGATGCGCAATAGTGTAACCGGGCGGTGCCGAGGTTCTATTGGCGTCCTTCCAAGACCGACTCACGCGGTGCTGCAGGACACTGCGAACTCTATGCAGTATCGTACTTGTTAAGTAAATGGATGGCCGTACTGTGTGGCTGTAGCTCGATCCGCCACACTGGGTGGTAGCAGCGTCTTTGACGAAAGCAGCCGGGGAGAGCAGTGTTCTGGATCCGCAAGCCGATGGCGCACAGGTGAGGGGCTCTGTTGTTTCAGGGATAGGTCCCGATGCGTTGAACAGCTGGACTGACTGCGAGCGGACTGGAGCCTCAACTTTTGTCGGACGACGTAGAGCCCGAGCAGGGGAGAGGCCTCCCGATTCCACCCGTGGGACTGTCTTAGGATCTTCGTCGACGATGACTGAGACTCACTGTTATTAGCATGCATCAGCAAACTGTCGAGTCAGGGCCTATGTCTGAGCACGTCGCAGCTCGTGATCGTCGCTTCTGGACAGCCCGGTCTTGCGCGTACTGTAAACGGTAGGTCTAGTTCAGACCTGAGCCACCTAACCGCAGGTGTGCTTATCACTAAGAGACCTGCGTGTAGGTTTTGGGTCTTTTTTGAGTAGGGTCTTAGCCCAAAATGAACTCATTAGCTATTCATCTTCAAAGCATTTCTTCATCACCATTTTCTATCAAGGTAGTGTAGTTGTAAGTACCAACTTCAATGAACAGCACTTCTAAAGTGCAACCCTCGCGCATTACGCAATGCGCGTAGTCGCTAATGGTGGGATGGAGTCTAGGCTAGGTCAGTGGTCTCCCGCCAGTAGCTCGCGAGAGTCTGACATCGGACTAGCTACGTATAGTATAGCATTGCCTAGGAGGTATGTGCTGTTGCTTCCGCCGACGCCCGAGGGCGCGTAGCGCCCGAGGGAGGGAGGGCGGAATATAACCGCAACATACCGACTAGGCCATGCGATAATGATTGATTGGCCAATTACGACGCCGGAAGGCAGCTGATTTACTATGGTAACGTGACGTCAAACAGTCGATTTCAGTCTGGGCGTTGTGCTCCTTCGCTCGACGGTCCTCAGCGGTGGCTCGTTCATAGCGCCGCTTTTTTCGTTGGTGAATGGAGATTGGACTGATTTACCGTCCAGGTGCTACCGAGCAACCACTTACGAGAAAGCGCCGTGTTGCAGCGCAGCGGGCCAATCCGGGACAGGGAGGCGCCGGGTTCCGTCGTCTTCGCCTCCATCAAGAGGAAGCGCCTAAGTCCTTTCAAGAAATGCTCCCACCGGTGGAGTTTCGACGACGAATGCCGCCGACGGAGCGCCTCGCAAAGACGCACTGCTCTTGTACACATGATCTACAGACTAAAATTCCACACCAGTTATTGACACCTGCAACATCGCCCTAGCTTCTTGTCCTTTCCAATCAACACCAGTTATTGACACCAATGCATACAGTCTCCCTGCTCCCTAACCACTGCCTGGTGGCAGGTTATTTTGCGGAATAAACTTAGCACACTTAGCAACAGGCATAAACTAGTACTGCATGCGGGAGTCGATACACGGCACTCGGTGGAACTTTTGGCCTCCCGACGTACGAGCGTTCGAGCCAGATCAGTTCGAGGTAAGCCAGCGCGATTATGCATATTGGCGTTTCGTGGTTTTCACGGATCTCTCGAACTGCGTAGTTTGCAGGAAAATAGCTAATAATTTTCAGGTTCGCGTCTATATGAAGCCCGTTGGTATCGCTCATTAGCCACCTTCGGGGCGTCAGTGCCCAGAATTAGCAGCGACAAACACACAGACAGCAGACAGAAAGACAGACAGAGACCGACAGACGAATACACTACCGTAACCTCGAATGCGCACGCGCGCGGGTTACTGACAACGGTGCTTATATAGGAATATATATCTATACCCTACGCTGTATTCTGAGTTGTGGGCGGAGGGCTTACCATTGGACAGGAAGTCCTTCTCACAATCGAGCGCTAGGTATAAGTGCAAATCGCTAGATGTGTGATAAGGACTTCCTGTCCACTACGATATATACAGGATCTCGCACGGTTGTTGTTAATGCCAAAACTCTTTAGGTCGAATTCTACAATGACACAGTGACTTAACTGTTATTGTGGGTAACTTAGCTACTCTTTCAACGTAGCACAAGTCCAAAAGGCCATTGGTCAGGAAATTGGTGTTGATGAACAGGATGCACCATACACATGCTTTGAGTGTACCGTGAAAGATACCATTTCAGAACCAAGCGGAGAGAGAGATATGTGGTTTACCAGCGACAGACATCAATGCATATTACACATCCGGTGGAGCCAAGTGGTTCAACATCGTGGGTTGATTGTGTCAACATCGGTATTATCGTACACATGAAAAGTAGGGGCTGGTAAGCAAAATCTGATGCTAGTTTCAGGGATTGTGAGTTCTAATATTGGCTGTTGGTTATAACTTTCACAATAGCTTGAGAATGCTGGTCACCTGTTACCTCATACTTCAGTCAGTTCAAAATGATAAACCACCAAGGGAGCTCTGACCCACAAATGGGATATCAGTCAGCCCAGTGCTAAACAGGTCTCCACAGTAGATACTCACACCCAAACATTACTCTGGATTACACCTCGGATGCAGTCTTTTGTAGGAACATATTGGAACTTACCTGTTACTTCGTCATTGATCCACAAAAT